ACAAAATCGGTGCCCTCCTGCTCTGCTTGCTCCGATCGAAGTGCCCGCATGAGCACCCCAGCAAACACACCCTCTTGTTTCGACCGAAAATTCTCCCAATGCACAGCACGACCATGAGCAATCTGCCGTAAAGCCCAATTAGAGGTACCCCCCGAAACCACTCGATGCAAAGGCACTTCAAAGATCTCCATACCTGCAATGCCATTTTCTCGAGTAAGTCGATTGGAAGTCACTCGTCTCGGCAACGACAAACCATACACCTTATTCGAGTCCCACTCCTGCGAGGTTGACCGCCACGATCCCGGGAGGTTCGTACTTCGTGGTTCAACTCTGGGAGAGCGAGTGCGAGATCTATGCCGAGTAGTGCGACCCGAAGAAGAGAATTCAGGACGTCTGCGATGCGAGCGGGGTGGGCTTCGAGATCGTGAATCACGGCGACGATATGACATGGCTCAAGTACTCTGACAGCAAACTTGAAAGATCAAAAGCTATGCAAATACACATGTTGACATGAACTGAATGCAAGCGGTCCTGCATCCTGCAAATGAAGCACGACACTACTGCAGGTCCTGGTTTGTTTTCTTGGTCCTCTGCGAGACGACGTCAGTTGCCTGCACCACGCTGGATCTGCTGAGCATGTGTCAGAGGAACCTGAAAAAGCGGGCGACCGAAAGAATCTCTCAAAGGAGTGAACTGTTTGGCTACTGCCACTGTGAAACCTGCCACCGTGCTCCTTCCGCTGTGGATCACATATTTATGGTCTCGTTTGAAGTGGACGACCCTGTGTATGAGGCACTGTTGCTGGGCGTATTCTCCACCGCCCGACTTCAGAACGAAATGCTGGCCCGGAACACTCGCATACCCATGTGTGATAATGGGACAAGCCCATTTTGCAGAATTCGTGACCCTATCAAGAATCTGCACAAACGACATGTCATCGCTCCACAGTGTTGCCTGCGAATAATCGCCTACGGCCTCCGGGCCGTCCGCCAGCGTGGCTGGTGCCAAAAACCGAGATTGAATTATCCCTTGTACACCTGCCATGTCCGAGCCATGAGCAAAATAATATAAAGTTCGTTCTTCTGCAGAAGAATCATCATGTGGAACAAACCGATCATTCAGATCAAAGCTCCAGAAAACATGTGCCTTGGACTCATGACACTTCACTCGACAAAACATGCGAGATGCATCTCCTGTGTATCGACACATCAGCGTTGCAAAGCACCGAAGTTCAAAGAGAGGCAGAAGCTGAATCCCTGAGCTGTTGCAAAGATCTGTTACAATCTTCATGTTGCGCTCAATCTGGTCCTCAGGCGCTCCTTGCATGATGAGGCGACCTTGCCAGCTCTTAAGCTTGACACTGACTGCTCCTCCCACTGTCCTCGACAAAACCAGTTCAGAATGCACGTCCTGGCCACTAGTCGTAAGCAAGGGATCACCTGCATACTGCGGAGGTTGCATCGGTGTACACTCGACAGTGTTCGCATTTCCTGTAGGAATCACCGGTGGAGGTGGAGGTGGTGGAGGAGGGGGTGGTGGTGCTGCCGTCGATGGTGATGCTGACGACGTGCCCTTGACTTCTCTTACAGCTGAAAGACTGCGCAAAGACGCCATCTGAACAGCACGATCCGCCAGGTCCTGTTGAACCTGTATCTCCCTGTCAGAAGCAGAAGACTCGGCAGCCGACAAAATGCTGTCTTCTGGAGGCCTACACACTTCAAGTGCTCCCAGCATCTGTTCCCTCCTCTGCTGCAAAACTTGTCCCACTGATCCCTTAGGAACTTTAGCAGCATTCTTTGCACGGGCAACTCCTCGCGAAGTGAGCTGAGGTGTCTCCATTGGGGGTGCAATCGATCGATCACTGTCCGAGACAACTTCTGAAGTATCATCTCGAGACTCAGAAGAAGAATCTCCCATCGGAATGTCCTTTCCTGTAGAAAGTCGATCTGGCAGAACATTGTCAATCTCGATTCCCTGGAACCCAAAATTGGGCATCGGAATCTCCGATGGCGAGGGTCCTTCACCCTCCGAGATATCAACCCCGGTAACATCTGCATCAGGCAAGGAATCCATGTTCACAGTGCAGAAGAGGCTGCAAACAAAACAAAACAAGTGAATTGAAGCCGAGATGCTACCACGACCATTCATCTTCGGTAACTGTTACTTCTTGGTTCACTCAAGGCTGCTAGAGCCACTCAGAGACCGTTAAGGCCACTCAAGCCCATATCCAACGGAGCACTTCCGATCCGGTTGCTCTCTAGGAGCACTTAGACCCATCACCTGACAAGAAAGGGCCACTCTTTACAATGCCTTTGCACCATTGACCTGTCCCGAAGGAGCACGGCCTGTTCTGTTACCATCTTGGGCCGCACAACGTACCCTGGCAGTCCGCAGGAGCGGTAGTTGCCGTTGGCAACAAGGCCACACACGGAGATAAGGAGTCCAACAAGACAGAATCGCCAAATATGTAATAATAATCTGTTGGTATAGTCGATGATCACCTGAAGCCTAAGTCACACCTGAATGCAACTGCAGCGAGAGCTGTCCAACCCTTGTGCAAGATCATGTTCGTATCTTTACAGCTTCATCTCAGTGGTGCACTGCACAATCAATGTACAGCAAGAATCCTATCGGGGTTCTTGGCTTAGCCCCCTGCCATAATCACCTGCAGGTACGTGATCCCAGCGTCCCAGGATCATATCACACTCAACAGACAGGCGTCTTCGTTGGCCTGAGTCCTGTCTGTGAGCCTCAGGCCTCCTGCAGACTGAAATCGCACGATTGTCCAGAAACTTCTAGCTTAGGATCGAGGCTTACGCACACACACACACACACACACACATACACACACTTTCGAGAAGAACATGCCTGAGATTGTGGGTTTTCGCATGATGGTGTGTTTCCCCAGTATGGGACATTGCACCCACATTCTGCATTCTACGTGAAAGGCTCCACGGCTGCCAGGATTCGAAGGGCGTGCCGCCGCCATAAACCGGTGCTTTTTCTGATAGCGGCATGAAGGGACCTGGGCAACAGTACACTCAATCACTGATCGCAGAATTCTCGTGTTTTTTTGCAAGCTGGTTTCGGGACTTCTGGTTGCTTTGGAGCTTCAGGATTACCAGACCAGATTCGAGTTTGCAGATGTAACGTAGTCGGCTCCATTCAGGTAGCGTGCGTGCATGGTATCAGAAGGAGAGGTGCTTGCAACTGAACGTACAGCACAGTTGACAAAGAGCGCCCGAAGGGTCCTGGAGAAAACTTCCATGTCCTTGCATCTCAGCACAGAGCTTCGTGTGCGGAACTGTCGCATCGACCACGGGTGGAGGCTGCTTTGATCAGTCAGGGAGAAAGGCCAGGTTTGAGCTAGCCGATGTGACTTTGACAACCCTCATGTGCCCATCTTGCACCTGCTTGTGCGGCATGTCAGCCAAGCATGGCCTTCGTTTCCAACCAATTCGAGTCAGCACTCGGCTTCGTGGGTCCATCCGCTTGTGGTTTTTGGCTGAGGTGGCGAGAGAGAAAGGAATTCAGAGTTGCCCTGCAGGTCTTGTCATGTTTCGAGGCTTCGTCAGCCCATCTGGCAGGCTCCCCATCCAGCTGTGGACGATTGCTGGATGCTGCATGGCGCGTGTCTACCGACACGTCGTCAACCTTCTGCGCTTCGGAAACTACGTACTTCGGTTGTCCGGCGAATCGCCGCGACCTTCGTCCCTGACTCGAGCGCCAAGGGCCCCACCAGCTTCGCAGGCTCGATGAGAATCCATCAGAGCTTGAGCCACAAAAGCCACGATACGGACGGAAAGGGGTCCTCACATTGGCAACTGGATCAATAGACCAAAAAAGCTGCCAACATGAACCGCCATGCCAGAATCCAGAGTCCGCATACAGCAGGTTTGGCCTCCGTGGTGCCTTTTGCGCGCCGGGCTCCTCCAACAGAAGCAACGGTGCCTATAGAAAGCTACGATGCAAAGGGCCTTCGAAGTCAGATCTGGGGTGCTCTAAGCCTTGCATGGTATGGTTCACAATCCGAGAACGATGCCGTGCTGCCTGCAGACCTCACGTGGAACTCCGGCACCACCAGGCGAAGAACTTTGAAACTCAGCTGAAGGCTCCGAGTCGTGTCGCATTGTCTCGGGAGGGCCCAGCCTCCCGAACACCTCTTCCATCCGAGCGTGAGAGCTTCAGGCCTTGGACGTTCGTTTGTTCCCTGCGTTGCCTTGCTCTCAGATTCTGCTTGTGATTTGCTTCTGGAAATCAGCACTTCAAGGAGTCCTGGGCTGAAGAAGCTTCAGACTCGGCGACAAACACGTCATTCCAAAGACTCGAAAGCCTCTTACTCCTGAAGCAGCTCTATCTTTATCTGTCTTGCGTAGAACTTGCGAAGCTGAAACTTTGTCATTCTCTGGTGTTGGCTCACCCGGCTTCCGTATTTGCTGGGCGTGCTGCTCCCGTGCAAATGGGCCGAGCTGGTCTGCCCCGGGCGCAGGTGGCCTCAGGAGGTCTTGTCTGAAGGCGCTTTAAATCCAACGCTCACAGCCGAACTAACTCCTACAGGCCTTGTGGGACCTGGACCTAGCACCTTAGGACCTGGACCGCCACAGTGCCACACTGGTGTGGAGACCTGTAAAGACTCCGACCTGGGCAGCTGCTGCAGGGGATGTGTTTCCCCTGTGCGTATTGCTTCCGGAGCTGGTCCAGGTGACCTGGGTGTCGTTGCACATCTTCGCAACCCGGCCCTAGCCCTAACAGTCGCGTGCAAGTCGCGACAACTGCTGACATCCCGCAGCATGGGTCACGAGCACTAGTAGATTTCTACATGCACCTCCCTTTCATGGCAGATTTTCGGAAACCGAGGCAAGATCTGGCAAGCCGGCAGTCCTGCTTGCGGGGAGGCCGCGCTTGGATTCGATGCATCGGAGACCAGAATCTGCCTCAACGCTCCCAAGCAACGCTGAGATGGCTAGAGCCCAAGCACACAAAGAACCTTCCTCCGATCTTCAGTGCCCTCCGACCGCACTGCATGGAATGCCCTGTCCATGGCAACCTCCATTGGCATTCATCCTTCGATGCCGGGGCCACGGCAATGAGGCAGGAGGTATCTCCGGCTCGCCCTCGATCTCCTCATCCCTCAATTGCGGCCGTTTGCGGGGTGATGCGAGAAATTGGGCCCCGCTGCACACACTCCGGATTCAAGTCAGGTAAGATAGCAACCCATCGGATCCCGCTTGTGACCTTCCCTTCGTACTTCCACTTGTCAGTGACTTGGATGCCGACATGAAGGACTTGCGACACTCCAGCTCCCAGTGGCACCTGCCAAGGGACGAAACTGCGACCGAGCCGTGGAGCCGTGCTCCCCAACGACTTCGAAGGTGGAGCTCAACAACTTCACGGTTTCCTGCCTCTCCGCAATCTGGAACGCTACCTGCGGCTCAAGAACTGCTAAGCACCGCCTGGCTGCAAACCGCCGAGCAAACGAGCTAGGACCCCTTCCTACTTGTCGGGTATCATGGGGAACTAAAGGTTAACCTTTTTGGTTATATAGGGATTATATAGGGACTATACTACCCAAAAAAGGGTAAAGGTTACCTGCTCGACTACTAGGCATTCACCCGATGCGCAAGGAGCCTTCGAAGGAGCCTGAGCCTGAGAGAAGGTGCACGGCAAACCCTGAAGCCCGAAACGAGTGGGCAGTTGAAGTGGCAAATCAAGGGGAGTGGCTTTTGCACCTGAAAATCGAACCAGGAGTGACGACTTCAAGGAGGGAAGCAGTGAGGTTCGTGCTTCGAAGCTCGAACCCGGAAAGATCATGAACGCCGATTGTGCAGAATTCATGGGTGCGGCAGCAAGCTGCGGATTGCTCGGAAGTCGAACAAATCACATCGCAGAACGACAGGACAGACAGGATACGCTAAAAGAGAACTGGCACACGGAAGAATGCAGGAGATGCGTTTCAGCATGAAAGACTTCCACGGGGTATTCAGCTCTGCACTCTGCATGGGCGTGCGCTTTTGCCATAGGGAGGTTGGATGATGGCCGGGAGCGGAACCGTGCGAAACCCTCGGAATTTTAGAGCCAGAATCCGAAATCGAAGAGGCCCAGATGCTCTTTTGGGATGCCTGTTTCTCTGGGCCCACGCTGGGCTCCAAGATGCAATCCAACAGGTGCGCCTGCCACAGGCCATCGAAAGAGTCTGCGCCACAGACAGAGAGTCGAAGCCTCATCTTCTTCTCCGAATACAGACTCCCTTATACGCATGCCAAGGAAAAAGTGTCTGAGTCTGAGTACCTCTTGATGCCAGGTGCCAGCATGTACACACAGCTGGGCTGCACATCACCAGAGTCCAGGGTGTCGCTTGCAAAGCCGAGAAAAAAAGACGAGAACGAGAAAACGAGAACGAGAACGAACAGCCTCTCGAGACCCGGAAAGTGGAACAACTCGTGAAGACGAACGGATCCTAGATCGAAACCCACCCGCCTCCTTCTTCTCCCAGCCCGATAAGACCAGGCCCTTGCCTGGCAGCTGGCGACATTTATGACGGCAGCAATCGCGGTCTCCTCTCGCCATGCTATCGGCTAGTTCGAACCACAAACCTCTCGAGCCTCACTCGGCACTGTGTTCAGTCGCGAAACCCGTGCTGCCAATTACAGCATGGCGAGCATGCGTCTGGGGAGAATCGGCTAATCGGGCTCAAGCGCTGCTAAGCTCCGCACAAGGACTCCGCACCAGGGCACTCGGCGCAGTGACTGCAAGGGCAGGCAGTGGCTTCACCGGCCTTGACCTGGTGAGAAGCACCGAAGGCATCATCGGCTTGCAGGAGTGTGCAGTTGCGACACAAACGCTCATACAACAGTGCAACACCAGACAGCGTAGCAAAACGTGAAATCGATAAGGTGACCCAGCTGACAAAGTGCTAAAACAACATCACAGAGGCGAGGACAATTAAATCTTGTTGAACGCGGTGACGAGGATTGCGAAAGTCAGCATAGGGATGCGCGACGACGGATCTGCTCATAGCGATGACGACGAAGATGTTGCTGATCAATATACCGATGATAGTGACAAGGTGTGACTAACGGCGGTGAGGATAACCATGCTGTTGATGATACCGGTTCCTCTTGCTTGCTGGTGTTGGCAAGTGGTCACAGGACGTTTCATGTTATCGACTCGTGACCGAAGATTACAGTAACCGCCATTGCTCGCCAGCATGTTCTGCTTCTGCCTCTCATCATAGCGCGATCACTGCCATCGTTGGTCTGATCAATACTACCTCGCCAAGCTCGCATCCCCGATCGTCACCTACAACTGTATGTGCGGCCCTGCTCATCTATTCAACCGCTATCTTTCAGTACCCTGTGAAGAATATTGGCCGTAGACAAGACTTGTTGGATGACACTGCATGGTCAATCTTGCCTTCGAGCTGTTGTCTCAGCATTGCTGCCAGGTCCGCTATCGCACGCTAGGTCGAGTTTTGGTAGGATCAGTGCAGCGACAGAGCGTGCTGTTGCCCTGGCATCCAAGTTCTGGGAAACCGCGGAATTCCCGGCCTCTCGGTGGGCGACAAGTCAATCGCATCCTCGGAAATGCAGCCAATGGCTCAACCCCATGCACAAAATGGAGATCACTGCAGCCGTAGATTCGGTCAGCGCGCGCTGCAAGCGCAAAGCGAGCCTTGGCCCCAAGGTACGAGAAGAAGATAGAGCCCGAATCGGATCCCATCTTGAGCTAAAGTCTTATAGACTGCGTCTCTTGAAGGAGATAATCATTGTCTTCATGCTTGCCGGCTCTGCTGTAGATTCCATGTTTCACTGCTTTAGGTTCTAGAGCACTTCGGAAGACCTTCTACGCTGCTGATTTGTCAAAGCGTCTGTCATGCCTTTGACCGGTAGGCCCAGGTGGCTTCTTCCGTTGTTTCTCTGAGGCCCCCACGACCGACCGAGCCGCAAGTGGGGAGGCAACGCAGCTGAAGGGAGCGTCAGCACGCCCTGGAGAGAAAGCTTGGCTTTGGGGTGCGGAGCAGTGGCTAAGAGTCGCATGTTGTAGCGAGCCCGACAACTTAGGCGAAGCTTTGCGAAGGCTCCTCCGACGATCTGTGCCACAAAAAAGCGGACGAAATGAGAAGAGACGCAGCGTCCTTGCGAACCCTGCACGGTCCTAGACCATCACAGAAATACTCCATGATTAGCCGGCAGCGGTACCACAGTGATGTGAGAACATGAATAGAGCATTGATATGCACTTGTCGACGCCAAGCCAGAAATTGCAGGCAACAGCGAACACGATGTTAATTTTCACCCCTCTACCGTGCCGTCCACCGCTGTCCGAGGCTCCTCCGGTCCAGAAGGCGGTGTTTTAGAAGCGGCGCCTCGGCTGCCAAGTCTAGTATCCCGATGCTCCAAGCAGTGCCTGTCCACACCAAAACCACTAGTATGGTACCAACAAGCCCGTTATCCAGCCAGACCCGAGCATGAATTTCATCCTAGTCATTGCAGTTGTAAACATAAATCTCACACTACATAATATATCTGGACACCGAAACCAAAATACTATGCTGTCAGACAGTTCGTGATATATGAATTTCAATGAATCTGGTCCACCGTTAACCGATGTTCTTGCCCATTCCCACACGGATTCATCCCGCTTTTAAGGCAAGTGGCGTTGGTACCACATTCGATGTGTCCTCACGAGTAACATGCTCCGATGAGTAGCTGATGTTCTGGCGTCACCATCACTCTTCACAAACACGCCTGCATCATGCATTCGGCGCTTGGGCTGCCATGTGCACTACACCTGTAGTCAATTCGCTGATAACCACACAAAGCCGTCTGCGCCAAAAAAACGCAAGACAATACACGATGATTGGCAACAAGAACGTGCTTGAGCCAGAAAGAAGAACGGTAGCTTCCTGTTCTTCAACAACATTGAACAATTACAGTTGCAATTTCATTCGAAATCCAACAAACTGCAAACGACAACTGCTAATGCTTGTGTTTCGGAATCAAGTTTGCAACACAAATGCAGGGCAAATCACATGCGGCAGAACCTGCCACAGGAAGAACCGCGAAAAGAGACAAATGAATGACGGAAATCGGCTTGTGTTATCCGTAGCACACGCTACACCTCTTAGACGCACTCAGCGAAAGCGAGAAAGTCGAGAGTTGGCGATTGAGCAGTCTTGCGCTTTCAGCAGAATGGCTGAAGCTTCAACCGACCGTGATTGAAGTTGGAAAAAGAAGCTTGAACGGACTTGAATCCTTTCCTTTCTTGGAGAAACCGCAACTGCCCACTTTGTTTTCTGCAAGCTGCTCTTGCAGCACATCCGCAACGTTGCAAATACAAACCCAAAGCTGACGATGCGAATCGGTGGTTGGACAAGGACATTGAGCCTTATCCACTGTGTTCGCAACTTCCCAATGACACTTCCTGGCAGAAGGTCTTGCATGCAAAGATTCCCAGCTTTGTAGTAGTGGTGGAAAGCCGGATCAGGTTGATTGGCATCGCTTTGTTTTGCTCTCGGAAGATGGAGCGGCGTTCATTCATGAACCACCATTCCTGCCGTGCACAACTTTTCGGTGCCTTTGACGTTGCGGTATTTGGCTTGTCATGTTACTCTGTGTGAGCCGCGTTCTTGCTTTTCGTTGGAGTGCAGCGCACAAGGAGATATCCGTCACGTTGGAGAAGCTGACACTGCACAGTCTCAGCTGTGTCATTGCGCTTGAACCAGAGTTCAAAACACTTTCTGTTCGAACCCAGATTGGAACACCCGTGTTCGAATCCAGAACTGTGCTTCCAGTAAATTCTTCCAGAACTTTGAATTCTATTAACAGCATCTAAACTGCAAACTCTGCTCAAACAGATCAAGAGAAAGTGTTCAACTCTGGGTTCGAGTTTGAACAATTCGAACCGGCATTCAACTTTGGGCTGAACACTGCAACAAACGGCATGGACCAACAATTGTCAGGCACCGAAGCTTCCTGAAGGAACTGGAATACGGCTCAAAAAGATCCAGCACTCAAGACTTGCAGAAAAGTCTTCTAATTGTGTTCGAACCCTGGATTTCAATCCAGGTTCCTCCAGGGACGAGCCAGCCGTGCCGAACGGAGAGGTTGAACCAGGTCTGATGGTGAAAATGTTTTGAATCCTCAAAGACGCCTGCGGAGTATAGCGCAATCACAATGTGAAACACATGAGTGCATGAAATACGATAAAGCAAATCATGATAAAATGCATGGGGTATCCTAGGAGGCAAAATGATAAACACCCCGCCTACGAAGCTTCATTGAGCTCGCGGGTTGAAGTCTTCGGCATAATCTAGTTTGCCTCACCCCGTACGAAACAACAGCTTGCTTAGTTCACGATTGCACTCGACTCACAGACTACTTTTCATGAGCACTGCCCCAAAAGGTCTTTGGCTCGATACGTCGTTCGACTACGTAGAACTGTACATCTACGACTAGGTTACACCGTCTCTGAGGGCGCGGGCCGCCCACGAGACGATAGCTTGACTCACCCAAGCGTAGGCGCATGTGGCATCAATGCAGCTCGCAGCTGCAACACCACGTTGAAGCATGATTCCTAAGGGATCAGCACAAGGATTGCGATGCCTAATTGCATCGAGTGGCTCGTGAGCCTACTCATTCGGACTCGCAGCTGCTCCACAGCTGCCAAAGTGGTTCGTAAGTGAATCGAGATTGACAGCAAAATGCTGTTTCGAAGTCCTGTCATGTTTTGCTCAAACACAAGACTATGTACAATCGTCGTTGCCAGCAGCCTTTGTACAAGAATCCAACCGATCAGTGCACTGCCCGAAGCAGCGCACTCAAGGATTGGCGCATCAAGAGCATTATAACAAGTCAGCCACCGTAGCAAGCTTTGCATGGCTTAAAGCCTCGTCGCACTGCCTCTCCACGTGTAAGGCGCTCAAGGGCTTTGGCGTTATGCAGGTTGCCGCAACTCCGGCGGCCATGGTATGCATAACCACGCGACTTGGTCACCCAAACGGTTTGCTGATCAAGCTCATCTCTGATACGCTGGTCAAGTACAGGTGCATACCTGACTGCTGGGTTCGGTGCTTTCGGCTGCACCGCAGGTCCATTGGATGATCGCGCTGTCGGGTCGGGAGCATCATGATCATCAGCAGCTCGGCCGCTGCTCTGTCCAAGCACAATTGCACTACTCTTAGGGATGGCCAAGGCACGAGGATTAGGGTTCTCGGCAGGTTTCGGGACTACACTATCAACCGAAACTTTGGCTCCCTCGACCGTCACATTGACGCACACACCCGGCGTTGCCTGCGGCGCGCTGGAATCGCTGCTCGCGGCTGCCTCACTTGCTTTCTCATGCAACCTTCCTGGCCTGTTTCCACGGCACAAGAAGATACCACACAGCACTGCAATAATAACGCATTGGCTCACGATAAAACTCGGCATGGGATGCTCTGCAAGGAAATCAGCAATCAAGAAAATCGCATACAGCAACTGTTCAAGAAAATTCCAAAACATCTCCCCGTAACCGTGCTCGCCAGTCCCCTGGCTCAAGGCGTCATCGCGATGCGTATTGGGCTCATCATCGGCACTGGCGACAGAATCTGCTTGCAACGCCAATGCAAGGATCTGAAGCACAAGCTGTGGGTTCACTGCACCTCGCTTCACAATGCGACTCACATGATGTCGAGTCCTGTGATCAAGCAAATGGGCGTTCCCAACCAAGGCATAGCCGCAGTCTTTGTCACGAACATTCAAGCGTGCAAGAATGAACTCAACTCTCTCTGGCTTTAGCGGCTTCGTGGGAAGGTCACCAACATTTTCTGCGGTTCCAACCGGCGAAATGTCCAGCATCTTTTCCTGAGTCATCTGCTGAAGCCATAACAGCTTTCCGTCGATGTGGCGAGTCCGTCCGACTCCTTGGCGATTGCCAAGAGACCGCGCTGCTGCATTGTCGCACAAGCATGTCAGCGCAATATGCAGTTCTGGACACAGGTGTATGATGCAATTCTTAAGGAGGATAGCAGTTGCCGAACCAGCCACAAGGGAGTTGTACTCAGCCTCACATGAAGAAAGACTGATCACCTTCTGTGTTTGGCTGCTCGAATGAAGCAGCTGCCCGTCCCAAAGAATGCAACATGCAGATACGGACTTGCGCGTCTTCTTATCCCCGGACCAGTCACTGTCTGAGAACATTTCGAGGATAGAAGTTTTCTGCTCAGACACGCGATTGCAGATCAGTCCTTGCCCAAGCTGGGGTTTTGCCAAACCAAGCACATGTGACTTATGGCAATTCACATAGGCAGTCAGATGCCTCAGTAACTTCCAGCATCCTTCGGTAGGCTTGTGGGCATGTGTGGATAAAAATCGAATCCCAAATTGACACGCCAACAGGTCTGAAGCAAGATACATCAGGATGCCAAGTGCTGAGCGATACTTCGATGCACACTCTGAGTTCAGCTCACGGTCCGACGACAAGTCGGTGGGCAGGCCTCCAGTCGGGAACGGGGCCGCCTTGTACCGCTCCTTGGCACCATCAAGTCCAGTGATTTTCAAGAGTTTCTCAAGATATTTGATGTCAGGTTCAACAACCAGCAAATTGGGGCTGACTAAAATCAGTCGCCGCTTCAAGAAGGAAACCTCGTCACCAACTTGACGGATCCATTCACTGGACACTTTAAACTTTGACTTCAAGTGATTCTCAAGCTCCTGAAGGCGCGCAGTCAATCCTGCTGCAAGCATGTCATCTACATGCACCATTCCACCTCCTTGGCACATGTGGCTGCCTTCCGCATGCGGGATGCGAAACAACACTGGTTGCTCTGCCAACGGCTCAGCAGCAACAGCTGCACGGATCTCACACATAAAATCTTGAAACCAGGTAGCAGATCCGTCCCGTTGCCCAGGCAGCATTCGGAAAAGTTTATACCATTTTCCATCGACTTTTGTCAAGGTATCATGCTGTTGCTTGCACTGCAAGAAAGCGTCGGATACATCAAGACTCAGCAGGGACCAGCCGTCCCCAAAGTTGCGAATGAAAAGTGATGGAACAATTCTCAGCATGCACTGGGTCGTGGTCGGTGCAAACAAGTGCTGCCTGCCCGGATCTAAATGCGCAAATTCTCGCGCAACCAGCCTGGCTCTGCGCAACCAAACGCGCTCTCCCTTGATGACTTTAGGTCTCCATGTGCGGACGTACTTGGAAGACAATGTCCGATGCCCTTCAAGCCAGGACTCACTTTGTTCAAGAACACCGGCTTTCGTCAACCGATCAAGCTCAAAGGAATCTGCTGCAGCATCAATGGCTTCAAGCTCGGATGCATCGCACACTGGCTCAGTTTCACTGAAAGGCTTAATCAAAATGCTAGGGATGTCAGGCGCATTGGCTGCATCATCACCCAATCCTCAGTGTCCCACATGGACTCATCCGCACAATCAAGAAATTGCTCTGCACTTTCATCAAGAAGCTCGGGAGCCTCATCGTGATGGAACATTTCACAATCATGTGCACTTGTCTGAACAGCATCAAGACGAAGTTTCTTTCGGGCTGGAGCTTCCCCGCCTGCTTCCTCAGTCGCAGGTCGTGCTATCCCAGAGGACGAAGAAGCGATCCCAGGCCCATCATCAAACGACACAAGTGGCGAGGCCGTTTCAACTTGCATCGGAGTTTCTGCTTGCTGCCCTGGA